AACATGGGATTAATATTATTAAAATAAATAATATAATACTTAAAAAGCACGGGAAAAAATAAATATAGGGTATTTTAACCCTAAAAATATAATTAAATAATTAAAAAGTAATAAAAATATAATAAAAAGGTGTATACTTACAGCAGGCATTTTTAATTAAATTATAAAAAAAACTTAAAAAAAAAAAAAAAAAAGAAATCGCGAGGGTGCTTTAATATTAAAACTAAAATATTATATTTAGCCACTACAGGCAGTAACATTATATTTAGATTTAAAAGTAAAGTAAGGTAATTAAATTAATTTTTTATACCTAATTTTAAATATAAATTACACGTGAACTATAATACTTTATAAACCTAAAAATAGCTTATTTTATAATACTTAATAAAATCTATAATTTAAATTATATTTTATAAAATATAAATATAAATTTATGGATTACAAGGGCGCGATTACTTAAAAAAAAAGTACTATTATTATTATTATAGTATTATAACTATATAATATTATAATAATATAATCTAGCAGCCTAAGGCCACTAAGTAAAAAAATATTAATATTAAACTAGCCGCGCACTAAGGTAGCAGCTAGTTATATAATATATAAAATATTAAGTTTAACTCTAAACTCTAACTTAAAAAATTAGTAATTAGTTCCTACTATAAATATATAACACCTTTCCTATTGCAGTAATTCACGTTCTCCTAAGCTCACCGCAGTGTACAAACGCGACTCACACTAAAGTAATAAAAAAAAATAAAGTATTATTAAAAAAATAAGGCCTTAATATTATTAAGCTATTACCTAGTATAACTAAATTAAAAAATAATAAAAATAAATAATTAAGGCGCTAAAAAGGCACTAGAAATAAAATAAAATATTAATTTTAAAAAAGTAAAAAAATAAAAAAATATTATTACTAAAACTAAAGTATATAATAAACCTAGCTAAATACCCTTAATAATAATAAGAAACTTTATTTTAATATAAGCAAGTCTAGTATTAAAATTTAAAGTATTAATAAAATAAGCCTGGTAGGCAAGCTTAACTTTTTTTTAAAATTAAAATTTAGTAATAAATTATTAAACATGGCCTAAATTACTAAAAAAAAGGCAAAAGTATAATTATAAAACTTTAGTATTATTTTTTATATTAATAATAAAGGGATTTATAAGCTAAATAATAAAAAGCAAGGCATAATATAATAGCATTTTAATATAATATTAAAAATTTAATTTTTACTAGTTTTTTTTTGCCTTACTTAAAAGGAAGAATTCTTTTTAATAAGCTTTTTTTATATTTTTAAAGGCCTTTAGCAATTAGATTATTATAAAATAAATTTAAAATATAAATTTTTAACCCTATTAATACTTTTTATTTTTTAAAAAAAACTTTACCTTTTTGTTATTAGTCCGCGGGTAAAAAAAATAATAGTATTTAATAAAAAGCTATAAATTATAAGCATTTTTTATTATTATTACTTTAACCTAAGAAATATAATAAATTAGCTATAAAATATAAAAAAAAAATATTAAAAACTTACTAGCTTGTAAACCTTATTATAGTAAAAATAGGTTTTATATAAAATTAATATAATAATATTAAACTTATAATTAAATTAAAATAGCATGTTGTTATTATTTAAATTACTAGCTTTTAGTATAAACTAAAAGTATATTAAGTATTATAACATAGCTAAATAAATAAATATATATAATAAAACCCTATAAGTTTTACTAGCTTTTTTACCCTTTTTAAGCTTTTTTTTTTTACTATTTACAGCGCCCTTTTTTTACTTACTTTTTTTTTTAAATTATTTAAGGAACCTTTGCTATTCCTGTTACTATTTTTAGTAGTAGTAGTAATGGTTTTTAGTAAAAAAAAAATAAATTTTAAACCTTATTATAAAAGCCATAAGATTAAATAACCAGTAAAAAAATAAAAAAATAAGATATTAAACTTTAAAAAATAAAATAAGGAAACTAAAGGAATAAAATAAAAAAATTAAGAAAGTTAAAAAAAAAAAAACTAAAAAGTAAATAAAAATTTATTTTTTTATATTTAGCTACCTGTATAACATTAATAATATAGTATTATTATAATTATATTAACCTTTTTATTATTTATAAAACACTGCCTATTTATAATTTATTAATACTTAAATTAATAAAAAGTAACTTAAAACTTTTATTATTTACTAAAATAGCTATTTTAGCTACTAAAAGCAAAGCTATTTAAAARTAAAATATTAATAAAAAAATATTATTTTAAGCCTTAAAATAACCCCGCATTTAATAATAAATTATTTTAAATAAAAAAACTAGATAATTAAACGCGAAACTAAAGTAAAATAATAGTAAGACATGCTTATTATAAAAATTAAAGCTATTTAAAAATTAGGTTAATCTTAATTAAAAAAGGGCTAAGTTATTACACCCACGGGTGCCAAGCCCTAATAAAATAAAAAAATTAATAAAATAAAAGTTATAGTAATATTAAACCGCCACGTAGTAATAATATTATTATTATTTTAATAATATATTTAAGGCTAACGCCCTAGTAAAAAATAATTAGCTAAAAATTAGTTTTTATATATTTTAGGCCTTAAGATTTAATATTAATCCCCTATTAAATAGCCTTCTTAATACTTTATTTTGTACCTGGTTAGCCTAATCAAGGTTTTCACATACGGAGACATGCACCAAAAGTTTCCGCACGCCAAGAATGCCAAGGGTTGGTATTACGTGTTTAGGAATATATAATAATTACTATAAAAATAGTAATATTTAATACTTTTTTATAATTACTTTTTTATGCCCCTTTAATAGCTTTATATTTTATAATTTAATAAATTTTATAATATTATTTTTATACCGTAACTTGGCCTATTTTAATAAATTTTTAATATTTTAACCTAATTTTTAGCTTAAATTAATTACTTAATCCTCTTTTATAATTTTCTTAATTTTTAACGCTGGTTTTTTTATATAATAATACCTAAAAATAAGTTTTATTTTAATAAGGTTTAAGTGCAAGTTTTAACTTTTTAAGTTATTAATAAGCGTGTAGTAAAGATTTTTAGGCTCCTAAAACTTTTTATATATATTATTTATAATATTATTAAAAAAGGTAAACACCAGGGCTATCAGCCAAAAAAAACTAAAGTTTTTTAAATATATATTAAATTTATTAAAAATGGTAAGCGCTTTAAAAGGCCTGTTAAAATTAATAAAAATATTTAAAAAATTATAATAATTTTAATTATAATAAATTATTTAGGGCGCAAGAAGTTTTTAAAAATTTTTATATTTAAAGCTAGTATTTCTTATTTTTTTATTTTATAAATTTTTTATAAATATAAACTTTTTTTTATTAAGCCCTTTTATAAACCTAGTTTAACTAAAGCTACTTAAATTAAATACTTAAAGTTTTATATAGCTTATTAAAACTAGACTATTAAAAACTAAAAATATATAATTTTTATTAATAAAACCTTAATTATTTTAGGCTAACGCCATGGCTTGATTTAAGTATAAAAAATAATAAAAAATAAATATAATTAAACCTATATTTAAAGGTGTTAAAAGGGGTATTTTAACTTTATAATATAAAATTACTTTACCTATAATAAAAAGGGGCCTTTGTATATTTTTAAAATAAAAATAACCTAGTAAAAATATTAAGTAACCCACAAGATTAATAAGTTAAATTATAAGTTAAAGCCTATATTAAAGGCTAAATAAAAGATTAGTATAATATTAAAATAACTTAATTTATGCCTAAGAAAAGGTGGCTAAAGGCCTTAATAAAAGTAAAATAAGGCTAATAGCAAGCTAAAAAAAAGCGTTAGTAAAGGGATTAATTAGTATTAATACTAGGTAGTTAATTTTTAAAGCTATTTTTAACTCCCGTAGTTAAATACTAACACCTTTTTTTATAAAAAATTTTAAAGTCTTTTTTTATTTTTTTTACCTAAGAATATATAATTAAACAGCTAAATACTATTATTTTTAAAAATAAGGCCCCCGCTTATTAATACTAAATTTAAAAGTATATATATAATATTATAAAGGTTTAAAAAATTATAAATTAGCCTGGTAATTTACTAAATTTTAACGTTATTAAGTTTACTTAGGCCTAAATAAAAAAGTATATAACTTTACACGAAGCGCCTTAGGATAAAAAAACTAGTAAAGTAACCTGGTATAAAGCTTAAAAAAAGCTTTTTTAAAAAACTATTTAATACTAAATTAAAAGGCTAGTTTAACATATTTAAAAGGTTATTTGCTATAAAAAAGGCAATAAGTATTAAAAGGCTTATAAAAATTAAGATACCTATAGTTAAAAGGGCCGTAAAGTAAAGGGAAAGCTTTTTAAGTATTAAAACCTTTTTTTACTAAAAGATAATAATAATTAGGAGTTTAAATAGCTTTATTTTTTAATTTTAAGGGGCATTTTTAGTTTTAGTATAGCCTGTGTACCCTTGGAATTTGTTTCTATGGTAATTATATGTAAAAAAATTTGAAAGTTACACAAAGCTTACTAGCATGTGCGGAAACTTTTGGTGCACGTCTCCGTACTTGAGGTACCTAGACGCAAGTCACATGACTCTTGTTTTTATGAGTGGAGCACCTCATGAATGAAACAATCACATTCTTAACCACATCATCATTATCCATGTCCATGTCCATAGACATCAACGTTCATATCAACATTTCATGCGTATCATACCAAAGAAACAACATAAGGTATCAAAAGAGGTCCTGATAAATGGCAACTGAAGACAACACATGCCAGCAACAGCAGCCGAAACAAAGCCAAATACCAGGCTATACAAATCAACGGTATAAAGGGGTATAATACTCGTTCCAAAACACCACGCTATGTTTTTGTGGTTTGAGTTTCTTTCGTGAGACAAGATCCTGGCTTGCCAGGTATCCGGGGGTGGTAACACTAGAGCCAGGCAAAAGTGTCGGGTATTATCATTATTTGGAAGGCGATTACGCGGGGAACCGGTAGGGAGCGAGCTGCCGCCGGGCCTGCCGCTTGACGGCCCAGGCTTTGATGGAAATGACGATGATTTCCCAAGCCATGATGAAGACGGTCAAGCCCATCGCGATGCTGGTAGCGAACATGGCATCGAGCTCGTAGTATTCCAATGCTTCGACGACGTTGCGAGCCTGTTTATGTTAACTCATGTTCCTTGTTTGAGTCTGCAGGGACTTACACTCAGCATGAAGATGAGACCCCCAGAAATCAAGCAGAAGGAGGCGACAATCTCGGTCGGCGGGCGAGAAGGCAGGTACGAACTTGGCGGCTTCAGGTACATCAAGACGTAAGTCACGCCTCGGGCCAAGGCAAAGCCAATCAGCATATTACCCCACGACTTGTGGACCATGCTGGAGACCATGCTAGTCTGGTGGTGTCCTCCCATCATCATACCCAGAAGCAGGATAATAAGCGCCGGCATCGGGTTAAGCGACACCTCCTGGGTATCGGGCGCGCTCCAAGCGTGGGCGGTTTCCGCTTCCAGGTGAGTAGGAGCACGCAGGATGGTGTTGTTCAGCCAGCTCTTGAGGCGCCTCGACTCGAGAAGCATACCACACAGGCCTCCACCGAAGAACAGGACGGCGATCGATACGTGCTCAAAATCGGTAGCGGTCCAAGCACCACCCCAACCGTTGAGATGCTCGAGAAAGACATTGCTCACGCCGTAGGAGAAGATGACCGCCGACTCGGTGAATTCACCACTGCGAATCTTGGCCTTCCAGCCGACAATCTCGCGCGGAGGCTTAACGTTCCAGGCCCAGCCCAAATCCGCCCAGCAACCCATCATCCGGCCGAGAGTGAGGATCCCGTACCAGAAGAAGATGCTGCCTTTGATGAAGTGTGCCAGGCCGTTGAAGACTTCCCTGTCGCGCTATATGTTGTTAGCGGAGCTCATAAAGGCTAGGTCGCTATACTCACGAAAACACCGCCGTAAGTCACGCAACCGGTGACAAGCGCAATGGTACCGAGCAGCAGAATCAGTCTATCGATGACATTGTATACGAAGTTGAGGATCCGAAGGGCGCGGGCAGAGACCAAGGTCGGGACGCGCTTGGCGAGGAAACGATCGAGGACGCCGGTGCGCATGAAGCCGCGGGACTCGGAAGGTGACTCAGGAATATCCTCCTCTGGTTTCTCGAAGCCGTCATACTCATCGGAAGGCGAAGGGCAAGACGAGCTCGCGCGACTGTGAAGAGACGCCGTGTTCCGCTCAGTGCCCTGGCCGCTGTCCCTCGACCAGCGGTATTCATGGCGAATGCCGGCAGGGAAGGTAGTCGGGCTCTCAGCCATGTCGTCAGTCGACACGGGTAGGAACTGCGCGCGTTCATAGGCGTTCTCGGCCTTTTCGCCTCGACCGGCATAGGCGAAGATCAGCGCCATCACGATCTGCGCCGCGATCACCCAAGTCGCGACCCATCCAATCTTGTGGTGGACATTGTTCTCATAGAGATCGGGGGTCTGGGTATTGTAGACGATACCGACGAACAAACCGACCGCGTTCAGCACGAGGAAAACGAATTGCGACAGGAGCGCCAAGCGGGACCGCGCGATGCTCAACATCACAGCTAGAATGGGTCAATTCGCGATGCGCAACGTGAGGATTGCCGAAGCGGGGGTAAAACGTACCTGTTGGTAGCACGAAGCACCATGCGAGAACCATGAGCGCAATATGTGCCACGATCCATCCCGTGTACTGCCCGTAGGCAAAGTAGCTCATGGGCGAGTCGTCGTTTGTCTCCGGTTGCGCCTGTTCGTGAGAGGCGCCCATGTCCATATCCATATTCATATCCTCATGGTCATCGCCGTGGGCGAGAGCGCTCGCGATAGAGGCTAGTAGGAGAGCCGCGAGCGTGGCGCGCGAGATGCGCTGTAGCATGGCGCAAAGTTTATCTATAAAAAGGACGCGAAAAGGCAATTTTAAGCTCTCCGAGTCCGTGGACAGCTGCTATCAGTCGAGCTACAGCTCTAGCAGTAGAAATCGAAGCGAATGTACGGTGTACGGAGCTCGCGGAAGCCGAGAAGAGCTGTGAGGGGAATGCAGCCTCCGTCGTCACTGCCGCTCTATAGGGCTGAAGAGCTGAAGGTGCAAAGTATACGCCTAGAGGGAAGGGAGACGGTGAGAAGCGGGCATAAGAGGGAGAGAGCAAGAGGCAGGGAAAGGGAAGACAAGAAGAGTGAGAAAAGGAACGGGCGGTCTTTTATTCAATAATTTCTTGACCTGACTCTGTTGTACTTCGGAGACAGGCGGGGATAGCACTGGAGCTGGCCGTGGAAATTAGAGTGGGACTTGCTCTTTCCAGCGTCTGCACCTTTGGGCTTGTCGATGCAAAAGATTTTCATTTCCATCACACTATCACGCTCTACACCGTCTGTCCATCGGTATTTGGCCTCTAAGACACTGCTTCATCCCAGATACCTCGATTATAAGTCTTCACAGTTCCATCTCAATATCAGAGTGCAAAAAGACAGGGCAGCGACGTCATCAGTCATACGATAGCAGCCCTGGAGTGTGGAAGACATTTGGTCTGGGCCTTCATCTTGGTTCTTCAGCCTTCACGGGCACGGCGCACAAGCACTTTCCTAGCACAGCAATTGAGAGAGCCGGGCGAAAATCGGGCTCGGAGTCATCGGCAGAGTGACTTCAATCCAGCTCACTCGGTGCCAAGCTTGGAGATGACCTCATTAGGTACTGTGCCTGGCCCCCATACATACTCTGTTTCTGAGAGAGAAGATGGTTGCGATCAGTCTGATGCTGCCTAGTATGTCTCGCAAGTCGCAAGCCACAGATATCTATCTACACTACTCTAGGTAAGCACTTGGGTACGGCGTAAGCGTATAAGTATTCGATGTTTGACGGTAGACTGATGTATAGTCCGATACCCGTAGGGCTGTTGTGGATCCAGCCGAGAACTATGAGGACAGTGGAGAGCTTAACCAGGGATCATGGTAGTCACGGCAGAAGAGGCTTTCTCAACCAGGTCAAACCGCGAGACTCTAAGAGGAGATACTCCGGAGATTCCAGAGCCTGTGTAACTATCCCAGGCACCAGCATTCAGCCAGGAGTTGGCCAGTTTAGGTGTTCTCATCTGACAACCCAACCGAAGATCCCTGGCTTGGCGCTGGTGCATCCGGGCCTTCCGCAGAACCACGCTTATCACCACGCACCCGCCCATGAGTCCATGACCATGAGTCTGGCAACGTTCCCTGGATCAAGCATGCTCTAATAATGATGTCGCCTGCCATTGGTTTGCTAAGTTGCTTACAGAGTAGTGGCATGACTCATCGACTCTGCTTCGGCTGATGGAGCCATTCCAAGGCTCTTATACTCATCCTCCGCTGCTATACACTTACCGGTACGCCAACACTAGCAATGCACAGCACTTTTGCTGCATAAAGGTGGTCAGTCCCCGCATCTTACGATCACACGCCGGCAGCCATGAGCACCAACATAAGTCTGATTCAGCTGATTGGAAATGGCTCATGGTGATTGATAATAGCGAGTTCACAACTCCAGCCTCTTTTTTCAAGGTCACTTGGACCCCGGTGGATCCGGTCCGCCCATCATTGTTTTCCTTGATCCTTCGGAGACTTTCTCCCGAGTCAGCCTTTGATGTCCTCGCAGCCTCGCAGCCTCGCAAGCCTCAGCATTAGGCATCATCAATCCTTGCCAGATGGTGTGCACCCAGGCTGCAGAGTGCAGACGGCTGGCAACGGGCAACTGTGCATATTTGGCAGTTGGTGCCGCTGGCCCTGGAGATTGTTAAGCCATACTCCAACGGCATATACTACAGCAAATTAAGCTCGGAAGTCCGGCACCCAGCAGAACCCAGGCAGGATCCTTGAATCCTTGGACCTTCATCCCTGGCAAAGTCACGGAGCACTACTGCTTAATAATGCCATGCACGCATCCCGAAAGGTAATCTCCGGCAACAAGTCATCGAATCACAGGCAATCCATGTTTTTCATGTGGCCCGTGAACCTATGAAAATTTCGGCGGGAGATCCCGCATTCAGAATGGAAGATGGATCCTTAAGTCCATGATATTCCATGCCAACTTGCCAAGTCTGGCAATGCTGGCAATTGTGGCATAAAGAGTCCGAGCTTCCCATCGGATACTCGGAATATCGGATTCTCGGATGCCCGATGTGGCCTTGGCAGTGGGCTACTGGGCTAGTCTAATATATTCGAGAGGTTACTTGGACATCAACCCTTGAACTCGCTCCGGTCTTGTGATCAGATGATCGCGTGATTGTCTGAGGTATATTATCTCGGATGAGTACTTACAGTCCCTTGAATGAGCAGAATCAGGGCATATGTTGTTATCCAACTATCAACCCCCAATCAAGTTTTCTTTCAATAGCATCATGCCATGCATTCTGCTCCGGAGTAGGGTAGACTACGATGGGGAATCAGGGTTGTGTCCACTATGTCTACAGTAGCGCCAAAAGGTTAATCACCGTATGAGATCAGTCCCCAGTCAAGGTCATCGAGGTCTAGACTACGGGCTGCGCTCTCGCCATATCCTCGGTGCTAACCGTGATATATATTCCTGAGCAAGGAAGAGTTAAGGACAAGCCTCTTTAAATAATACTAACCAGTACCCTTATGATCTTTAATCACTACCTAGCCTAGCAAGCTCATGGCACTTTCATCTCGGTTGACTGTCCGGGTTTAAGTACGATCCCTCGTCCGAATACTGATTCGTTCAAGTGAAAGGTTTATAGAGCGAGTCTTGCCCGTCAGGAAGTACTGCTACAGCCATACGTTGCCTACCTAATACCTAGTTCAAGAACAAATCAGCCCCGAAAGACTCGCGAGCTGGTCTCCGGGCCTTGATCCGTGTTATCGCAAGTCGTCTTTAGCACAAACACTTGTAGGTATATATATCGGTTCGGTTGCACTGTTTAGGCTAGAACCGCATCATACACCTATGCTCACCGACTACAAGGTAATAATAGTAGATATGTCATCCTTGAAGTCGAACATACATCCAGCCATAGGATCCTCTACTCCGTCATCAGCATACCAGGCTCGAACCCCATGCCTACGGTCTAGGCCCTACAAACTGCGCATGTCGCCACCCCCAGGATCTTAGCATGAGCTTGGCTTCTTCTGACCAGTGATTACCCCAGGTCCTAGTAACCAACAACTACGGAGTAGCACTAGTAGGTTCCACTGCCTCTGGGTATGCGGCTCTACTTACTCGTATGTGTGTCGTTCCACTCCTGCACTGCAGCGTGTGAAGCTACCCTGGCCCATGATGTCAGCAGGCTGGGAGGCGGCCGGCTACCTACCGCATGCATACGGGAAACTGCTGGGGCGTACGTGCTGCAGGGCTGGGCGTGATATGATAGGTAGATGTATACTTGTTTGTTTAAATGGCTCTCCACTACGGAGTATATAGGGCTAGATGAGGATACATTGTAAGTTGAAGTCTGCATTAGGAGGTGATAGTAGAATTCAAGAGTACATATCTCTCCAAACCCAATTTGGACAAATTGATAAAAATTTATATATTCATTCATTCCTCATATCCATATACTAGCCCAACTTCATATACAAACAGCCCCCAAGAGTCAATAATCTACAGGTACTGCTTGAACCAGTTAACGGCCTGGACGAACGCCTGCTCCTTGGCGAACTTGTGGTGCTTGTTGCTGAGGTCCGCGCGGACGGCGAAGCCGTGCGTGACGCCGCTGTACAGGTTGATCTGCCAGTTCTGGCCGGTCTTGATGAGGATGTCCTCGGACTTGTGGCGGAGCTCGGTGGTGAAGATCTGGTCGATTTCTGCAGACGCACGATTGTTAGTATACGATGCGGTTACATACACAAGTCCGGCGGGCATGGACGGAACGTACCAGAAGCGCAGATGGAAAGGGGACCAGCAATGGCGGCGAGCTCCTCCTCGGTGACGAACGAGGGGTGAGCGGTGTAACCGACGTCGACCTTGCCGGGCTTCAGGAAGCGGCAGACGTACTATAATCGTCAGTTGGTGGCCCCGAAAAAGAAGTGATGGGCGGGGTGAGGGCTACCTTTCCACCGAAGCAGTAGCCGACAGCAGCGACGCGCTTGACTCCGAGGTCGCCGCGGACGTGCTTGATAGTAGCCTCGACAATGGGGTCGACGGCGGGGGTCTGGTGGTTGGGGAGCCACGCGGGGAGGTCGGCCTTGCCGGACTCCATGTCGCTCAGCTTGATGGGGTCTCCGCGGAAGAGGTCGGGGAGGACAGCGAGGTATCCATTCTCGGCGTACTCGTCGGCGAGGAGCTGGGCGTTGACGTAGACGCCGAAGATGTCGGACAGGATGATGACGGCCTTCTCGGGGGTCTTGTTGTCCTTGGGATAGACGATGTAGGTCTCAGCTGTATAGATAGGTAAATTGTTAGAGCTAGTTCAATTGGAATTGGCGCAGGTTCAGGGTGAGGGGCACGAACTGCCGTTGATGTTCTTGATCTCGCCGACGGGGGTGCCTTCGTGCTTGAAGCCGGAGGCGCAGCAAGCTCCAGGGGGGTTAGAGGCCATGTTGAGTGGATTGAAGGGAGATTTATATGTATAATAAATAAAATAGGAGAGGATAGAGTTGAGTGAGGGGAGCCGAGGGGGAATGGGGAGGATATTTATTTGCCGCCTCTGCTCTGCTTCTGCAGCAAACTCGATCCCCACTTTGCCCCTCCTTGTCCACTTCCCTGGGCCGTCTACGTAAGTGCGACCCTACTACTGCTGCTGTGCCTATAGCAAAGCGGTTCAGAACGGCTCTCTATCGTGCTGACTGCGGACAGGGTTTCAGCTGGGAATGCGCGGTGCGCAAGTGGTCGCAGTGGCAGGGATCTGTTGATGGCATGCAGCTGTACTAGGTACGACCTACCGTTGCCGGGAAATAGGCCGACGTGCCGTCAACCGTTGCGGCAGCCGATAGCGGAGATCGCAATGGCCTCTGTATCAGAGTTCACACATTCTATCCATCCAGAAGTGTTGATGCGACCAATCTCAAGCTGCTGAATGCCAATCCTTGGTCCCAAGTCTCTAACACTTCAACCGAGCGGACCGGATCTCTCCCGAAGGCCGCGGGACATACGGAGTATAGACTTGGCAGTTAAAGGGCATTTGATGCTGAAGGAGATAATTGATGTACTGCACTGAGTGCAGTCTTTGAAAACAAGCATTGGCAGATGGGAGGAAAAAGCTTGTGTTGTGAATACGAGCCACGGATCGCCGGCACCCTTACGGTATCTACCCAAGGCTGCCTTAACAGAGCCTGAAGATCCTGTTGACATTGTGGATCAAAGCATGGCCGTCGCCTCACCGACTCAAAACATCCACTCTTTGCGTTGCTGAACCAAACAAGGGGACGTTATACGGCAGCCCGAGACGCCATTTTCCACCTCCTCTGCTGTCACGTCGGTGACGAACATTGCCCTACAATGCAATGAATCAATGAAAATCACACTTGAATTGGAAGAGCCTTACCCCGGATAATGGCTCATGACGATGCCGGGTGTCTTTGCAGCATTCGGCGCCCTTCCAGCCCCCCAGGTAACCGGCTCTCCGTGCTGCTTGCTGAAGCGTGATGTTATAACCCGCACCTGAGCCAAGTGCTCAGGCTGATACCAGCGCATCCTGACGGCCATATGCGCCCGGTAAAGGCACCCATAGGGCTAAGCTGAACGGACGAGACTTTAACTCGAGGTGCCTTTCCTTCGATCATGTTCCGGGGCTTCAGATCAGCTGCGGCCAACGCGGTCTCAAGCGTAAAGGAGCAGTCGATGAGGAAGCCGACATGTTGGTCACTCCATTCGGTTGTGATGGTTGAGATGCCTTCCTTGTACAGCTCGCCGTCCTGGTAGATGTTGTACCGTGGAATGACGGTGCTGATGTCTCTGCCAGAGGCTAACTTGATGGCGCGTGATCCGGGTTCCATTTGCTCCAGCAAGGGGAGTGAGACCAGGTTGCGGAGACATAGTCTCCTGAAGTCCGCTGCAAAGTGTTGCGGAATTACCACGAGATTGCAGTACACACTGCTGGCAACTCCGGTGTTAGAACCGGTGATCTCGCCGCGTCGAGCACGAAGACGTGCTTCAATTCCTGTTCGACTTGCCTCAACTTTCAAGTCCATTTTCCGGTGCTGTCTGGTTCTGAAGCTAATACTTTCTCTCGACTGATAATCCACTTCTAACCTATCAGCTTTTGAGACTCAGTGGCTTCGTGGGGGATTCTAGTCCGACGCTGACATCCTATATTTCTTATCATTGGATTTTGGAGACACGAATGCGGCAGCTTCGGAGCTGCCGTCCGAATTTATACTTATTGACAGGATGGCGACTGAACATTGCTTTCGATGTTAACGAGCTTTGATAGGGTAATCTCCCACCCTTTGTTCCCTCTATATTCCAGAGTTCAAACAACTTGCGTGGTGTTTGGAAAGAGAATCCCAGACTCTTTATGAAGGGTGATCGCTCACAAAATGGCGCCCAAGCTCGGCAAAATCTCCCATGTCCTCGCCTGTAAACGCCCAGCGCTGATTTCCATAGATATTTTGGTACAGGCTTTGAGGAATCGCTGCGCTTTCTTCATTTTGGAACGTCTCATAGTTCTCGGGAAGCGGCGCCCAAAGGTGGTTTATATCACCCCATATATCCAAATCGGCAAGGATAGACTGTGGTTCTGGCGCAGTCATCTCAAAATCACCATTAAGAATATCGACACCGGGATATTGTCTTGTGGATGTATCGTCCTGGTGTGTGGATCGCCCTTGACCAGATACATTTGTTGAACCTGCAGCTTGCGAAGCGTCTCCAGTCTGATCGGGAGCCTCGCGAGGAGCTTTTCGCGTTAGGGCTCTGTATGACTCCGGCATATCGAGACGGCTGCACAGCTGCGCCCAGGTCCTTTGAATCTCATGAAACCACCGCGCTGCAAATTTGTTCTCGTGGTCTGCCACGTACTGTATCAGCCCTAAGGCTTCGCCTAATCCAGGAGAAGGCTGAATCCTCTGGTCATCTTCGCAGCTCGAGTCTAAGATTGCCGTAAGGATCATGATGAAGGTCACTGAGAAGATCCCGTCAAAGTCAAAGAAGCCGAACAACGCTGGCACAGTTCACATCAGCTGGGCTGTTGTAGGCTAAGTCAGGCAACACCACTAACCTAGGCATTTATTTTGACGTAGCGCTGTCAGAGTCTTCAGTAGCCTTCTTGCTGCTTCGGTGCACGTTCTGCAAAGTTTTCCTATGGGCGACGAATAAAGAATCCCAGGCTGTGGCGGATTGCCGCTGAGGATTAGTTGGGCTATGTGTAGCATGACCGGGCGAATGGTCAATAGAAGAGCCTAAATCGACTTTAGATAAGTTCTTGACCTGAAGCATGGTTGAGCTTACCTGATAGAACATCAAGTGAAGGGCAGCTGAAGTCCTCAGAGATAGATCGTTTCCAAGTCGCGGCATGCCAGTTGCTAGTTCCATAGGTATTTCGTCAGAAATGTCGTATAGACTTCTGATGATGCTCTGGACATTTGAGATGAATGTGTCTTCAGCCTGAGGTGTGGAGCCGTAAAGCACTACACGAAGTAGATATTAGCTACCGGTTTACACAAAGGAACGTAGATCCGAGCTAAAGACATACCGGTCATTACTTGGCCATAGACTCGAGCTAGCTTAATGCTTGTCCGCATCGGGGCCGCCGGCGTGAATCCAATGGAGTCTGTGGGGAGCGGTTGCTCTATAAGCGCATCGCTGATGCCCGGTGGGCTTCCAGTAGCTGCAGCCAAACGTCTGCATCGATTAACAACGATATATGAGCTGAGGACATATCTTGTATTACCTCTCCTGATGGTAGATTGACCACCACAGCCGGTTGATATGTGTCGCTTCCGATTGCAAGAAACGTGCGGTGGATGACTGCCGGTGGTAGCCGTGAGAAACTGCCAATCGCAGGGCTGTGCTAACCTGAGAATCTGTTAGTTCTGAGAGGAATCAGACCTAAGACTGAACGGCCGGATACGGACATGAACGTATGCCTCTTCTTTCCGATATATGTTTTGTAAGTATACAGCCACTTGGGCAAGTACTTCGACGCCAACCCGTCCAACACTGTACAGTTGGCTCAGCGGAGGCAAACGCTCCCAAACGAATTCAAATAACGAATAGCCAGGGAAGCTATCAGCTCTATACGCTTCACCTCCAAAGTCGCCGGTGAGAAGTCTGGCTATTGCGAAGATGAGAAGAATCTCCAAAGTCCACAGGCTTTCTGTATATGTGGAATCGTCTTTGTTAGCATAAAAAAGCCCGACCTTATCCGAAATTTCACGGGCATCAATATAGTTTTGTGTATGGCCAATATAGAAGACGTGCGTTTCGAGCAGCCTGAAAGCCTCACGCTCATCTGGGAGGGAAGGTATATCAAAGACATGTATGCTCCGTGGCCGTGGTTGGAGTAGATAATTAGCGGTATCTTGTGCCCTTTCCTGACGCTGGCCTGGTCTAGGTCCATCGAGCAGGCTTTGCACTCGAGAGCCGAATGTGTAGCTGGAGCTCAGTGACGAGTCAGCAGCAATTGCTGCAATTGTGTCAGCTAGCAGTCTTTGTATGAGGACATAATGAAGACTACCTGAGCCTGGTGACAGTTCGAATGATTCTGGATTTGTGCTTGTGGCCAAATCTGGGCGCGAGGCCCTCGACAAAAGCCCCAGAGAGTCTACGAGAAAAGCGCTATTATCCGGATGTACGGAGGTCCTTCGGATTCGCGTGGGAGCAGGTGTTGTCACTAGTGATGCTTCGGGGAGCGTCTCTCCTGCTTGAGATCCTGAGTGACAGTAGTATACGCGTCAGAAGATTGACTAGTCTATGAAGCGAGCACTAGAGCCACATACCAGGTCTTATGGCTCGAGTCGTATTCTCATATCTAGCCAAACGAGCTTCCAAGTATTCGATTCTCCTATCGCAGGTTAGACGCTTTTCAAACAGGCCTGAATTGAGCATACGCTACTGAGTACGCTCTCCTTTTACCATGCTCGGAGAAGGTGCAGTCTATGCCTCGCTTCAAGCAATAAGAGCACGGATTATTTCCGGAGCATTTGACTTTTCTCTGTCGGCAGGTTAAGCAGCTAGACGGCGTTACTGATGCTGATCCTATGCCACTTTGGAGCTCAAGTGGATAGGCCTATTGTAACTTACGCTGCAAGGACTTTGGGAATATCCCTCCGACTGCGAGTCGGAGTTGTTTGCCGAGACGAGCCTTGGTGACGAGTGTGACCCCGGGGCATTTTCTTATCACTTCAAAAGTAGATTGGTTGTTCCATTCAATACCAAAAGAGTAAAGCCGCTTCCATGTGCGCTTTTGCTCACAATGATCCAGGAAAGCGGTGATTGCGGTGCCTGTGGACAGGTTGAAGCAGAGGGTCGGAGGCGACATCCGAGAGTGATAAGCGAAGCTGAGGGATACCGTACCCAAGCGACCATTCCATTTTAGTAAATCGGACGGTGGAGGGAGTGAGATAAGAGAGCTTAATCTCCGTCTGTGATTGTGGAGAGTTGGAGTAGATAATGAACCCCGCAAACTAAATTTGTCTCCTGAAGTTGGGATGAAGCAATGAGACCAGCAAAGTGCGATTCATTGAAAACGATCGCTGACGAGAGAAGAAATCTCTTGTTCATTGCACCCTTGTGGTGACAAGCACATACTGGAATAAACTGGCCTAGAACACCGGAAGAGTGCCAAACTCGCCATCAGGCTATGGTATAAATGAGAGAACCTCCAAGGGAGAGGCGACTTAAAGGCTCGTGGTGCTTTCCATGCCATCTAGAGACTCAAGAAGGGCCAAGTGGCTTGAAAATGGTGGCCGGAGAAAGAGCGTTGTCGACTATAGTACAGGTGTCAAATCAGTGGTCACCTCTGCTATTGTGGTTTGAGAGATTTTGACCGCATACTGATTTTAAAGCTCGAGTAGTTGCCTGGCTGCTCGTGGAATTGACCTGCCTGTACAAATCGCCATGCCATAAACGAGCAGCCCGGTGAAGATGAAATCAGTCCAGGGCTATGGAACAGAGCTCAGGCTCAGTGGCCGTTGCAACCGTGAAACTCGGGACTTATCCAGGGGAGGCTATCTAGGGAGGCAACTGGTGAAAATGATGTACGCTTCTCGTGATGAAGGTATTCCGGAAGCCATGAAGTTCATATTCGGAGGCCTAAGCTTGTCGTTAAGCCCGCGGCCGCGGTGCCTCTAGCAGATATTCCATTAACAAAGAGTTCAGGGAGGACGTGGAGCACATGGCAGGCGGCGCATGTTGGGACCTGAGTATCATCCTTACTGGAGGAATTGCTGTCATAGAGAGAATCGCACGGCTTTTCGCTTAGGTGGCCATGGGGTTTGTACTGCTCATAAAGACCTGGTCGGGTCAATGTGACCGAGAAGAGCCATGTTCGACCTGAACATTACGGCTCCTATTTGCGCCCTGCGAGCACTGTAAGGATTCGGAGGACACTGGCGTGTTTCGGAGTAGTCATCCGAAACCAGCAGGAGTTCATGCTAAAAAGAGACCATGTCCTCGCCCCAAGCAGTCATTTGAATGGAACGCATCACGTTCCCAGCATTTACCGTCCCCATCCGTCATGACATCTTTCTACTCAAACAATCTCGAAATCTGTGTGGCTTCTGGCCAACTTTGCAAATCGTTTGGCATCAAAATATCGCCCAACGCTCAAGTCGTCCAAATCGCACGCGACGCGGGCTTTGACTCGCTCTTTATTGATTTGGAACATGCGTGGCTCACTTTGGCTGAGGCGAGTAACCTATGCAATGTTGGCCACTTATGCGGCATCACACCGTTCGTGCGCGTGCCACACCAGTGTGGTAATGGTTATGTACAGAGAGTTCTCGATGGCGGTGCGATGGGTGTGATTTTCCCGCATATTCACAATGCAGGTACGTGCTCTTAAAGGGTTATACACAAGGTCATCCGCGCTGACCAAGTCTATTAGCCGATGCAAGGGCAGTTGTGAGTATTAGCAAGTACCCCCCTCTAGGCTGTAGGTCAATGACCGGCCAGATGCCCATGTTTGGCATGCGAGCGCTGGCAGTTGACCAGACTATTGACTTCTGCAACAAATCCGGTTCCACTGTCTTCGCCATGATTGAAAGCAAGGATGCTGTGGAAAATGCTGAGGAGATTGCCGCTGTTGAAGGCGTTGACGTTGTTTTGGTCGGGTCGATGGACCTCACAATTGATCTTGGAATTGGAGGCAAGTTTGACAGGCCAGAATACCAATCCTCGCTTGAGAAAATCAGCCAAGCTTGTCACGCGCACGACAAAGTTTTCGGTGTAGCTGGCGTTTATGATAACCCCGAGCTACAGGGTTGGATAATTAACGGCTTGGGGGCAAGATTCATGCTTGTTCAGCAAGATTCTTCCTTGTTGTCAATAGGAGGCGCAAAAGCAGTCAAAGCTCTACCGTCTGCCACTTAGTCGTAGGCCATTGAATGGGAGCTGTATTATTCTCTTGTGCATTCAACCAAGACTCGATGTGAGGGAAAGATAATTGGAATTTCATCAATCGGTCTTCTGATGTTTGGTGAGAATGAACCTCAAAGTATAGATCTCTCAAGGATTAACTGGTGAAAAGGGGATTTAAGTAGAGGTAAGTGTTCTTAAGAAAGGAAGAAACCGAAGTCTCCAAAAAGTCCACACAGCTGAAGACAGAACTTCTGTATACCTAAGTGTTGACGTTGTACTCCAGAGAAAACTGTTAGTGTCTGAGGAGATCTGGGGAACCCCGGTCAGTCACATGACTCTTATATCCTAGAACAGCTTAGCGTCGTCGAAGCGAGAAAGATGCGCCAAGCCCCGGTCGGAGGACCGAGACTGAGTCAGCAACCCACAACGCCAAATTCCAACCCTAAACCTGCACCTTTTCGTTTCGATTTCCGTCCCCATCGCCAGCGCCGACAGCAAGCCCACCGACCACCCTCCCGTCAACACCGTTTTCCCGACGTTTTCATACTCGCCGATTATTCAAGATGACTCACGAGTCCGTCTGGTACAGCCGTCCCCGCACGTATGTACACCTTTTCCGCTGCGGTTGAACTTGGGAGGTTGATGGGATGCTAACGAATATTCCGCGACAGTTACGGCAAGGGTTCCCGTCAATGGTGTGTTTAGCCTTCCTCCCATATCTATCCTGGACGAATATGCGAAAAAGAAGCGGATATTGAAGAAGGAATTGGGCATGGAACTTGGAGATTCGGATTCGCAAAGGACAAATTGGACGTGAATGGTTTCTAATTGGGATCTTCGAACAGCCGTGTCTGCTCTCACCGCGCCGGTCTGATCCGCAAGTACGGTGTAAGGATACCTTCCCTCGGAACCGAAATTTGCTACACTGGGACTGGGTGACTGATTGGATTCTGGTTTAGATGGACATCTGCCGTCAGTGCTTCCGTGAGAAGGCCTCCGACATTGGTTTCTTCAAGGTTGGTTTCCCTTATCTTTTTGTCTCCAATGGTGGATCCGGGCTTGAGAAGATGGAGGTGGTGGATGGCTTGCGACGATTCATTGGGGTTACGATAAACGAACGGCCGCTGACAAGGTTCTGCTTTAAGTACCGATAAATCAATCGCCAATGTTCTCCCGCCATGACGGTTCCGTATCCGTGCTCGGTACCGGTACCGGCACCATCTCAGCTCGCCAGTTATATAATACACTATTCGAAGGAAGCCGATTTACGATTCGATTCCAATCACGTACCCGATTTGCCTGAATATCTACGATTCCGACGGGCGTGAGACGAACTGGGCTGGATTTATGAATGATCAAGAGCACGTGATATTGAATTGGCAATGGTTGGGCCTGGAATGAAAAAAAGGATACTAGAAAAAAGGATTGCACGACTTTTCTTTTTTTTAATGACGAACTGAGCCTTGCGCGGCGAACGTTTGCGCGTCGTCGGTGTTGACAGACAATATCAATTTCTCAATTCACGGGTGTTTCGCTTTCTCCGTCCAGACCCAGCTCAATCGGGGCATCTTATACGATAGGGATATGGATCTCTGATTGGGCAGCTTCCAATTTTAGCCCAAAAAATACTGGCCAGCTAAGGACCTTGCCTGGGACCTAATACTAGCCTGAAATTGTAGTCCTGGGGATACATGTCCCCTAGATGCTGGCTTCAGCTATGAAATCCAACCTCCAGGTGATTAGCTCTGGAGGTCAAAATAGAATCGATTGGCCTGACCCGGCTTATCAAACAATCCTCAGACAGCGCTTGCGTCCCATAGCGAAGTAAAGCCTCGCATAGCATACCATAGGTATCATCACATCTAATCTATCTCTACAACTCGCAACCTCTACATAAATAAGCATGCACATACGTCGCAAGAAAAGCTCGAAGTGAACTGAGATAGAGGACGTGAATTTACACCTTAACCCATAACACCAAATAACAACACATTCGCCTCCAAGACGCTAACCTGGGATATGCGAACGTAACAAACATGACAATGATAGCTCTCTATAGGGGTTGAGGATAATGCTGGCTGGGCTAAGCGGAACTGTGTTAAGACACAGCATTGGCCAGGCAGCGGAGATTGTAGAATAATAGGTATGCGTCGACACCGAGGACTTCTGCCTCGGTCACAGTGGTGACCTGGTCGTCGTTGAAGAGCATCCACTGCTCATTGTGATGTTAGATACTGAGGCTGAAATGATAGAAGTAGGAGAAACAAACCTCATCACCCTGACGGCAGTAAACGTAGTAATGGCCCGCTTCCAGTTTGCCCTTGTGGACAACGGCAGAGGAAAGGTCATATGTGTACCGGGATTTGTCAACCGTGGTATTGGGGTTCGTAGTGTACGGAAGCATATTGATTGATAAAGGAAAGTCGATACGACCTTCGACCTTTTCTGAGACGGCAAATGTGTGTTCAAAGCGCTGCCTAGGTTAGACGATGTATTTATGGGTTGTTTGTAACAGAATGGGATTACCTTAAGCTGCATACACAGAATTGCCGGGAGTTTCTTAATTCGGAGCTGTTTTGTTGCCTTTTGAGGTGTATTCCCGCACCCGCTGCAGTTATACACGCCGGCCATGAGCTTTTCTGGCGAAGTAAAGCTCTCCAAGCAACCGCCAAGTGTTGGTGTTGCGGAGGAGCCGGAGCCGCCGCCCATTGCTCGCTTCTTTGCTTGAACCTGCACGTCGAGACTAAGGTCAACGATTGGATCTTCGGTCTTCGTGACATTGCCGCAACGATCGCAGGTCACGCTACTTCGAAGCTTGCCATAGAACGTTCGGTGGAAGAAACAGCTGCAGCCTTTCTCATGGTTGTCCCGGTTGCCCTCCGCGCTGGCATGTAGCTTGTCGACCAGAAACTGGTAATATTCGTGCGCGTCCTGCTGTTGATACCCGGCTAAGGTCTGCGCGAAAGTCAGCTTGTCGCAGCATGCAAGTAATAGGGTGCACCTACAGGACTAGCACGCCAAGAGGCCAGAAGCAGATTGAGCGCAGCGAAGCCTTCTGACTTGTCAATGCTGTTGAAGTCGGCAAACGCTTCGGCAACGGCGCATCCAATGCAATCAGTAACAGTACAATCATGCGGTTGGTGGCCATTTCCAAGAAAGTATGTACTCAGGATTGGGTCATGCAATAATGTCTGCAGGATGACATTCAAATAGCATGTCTGCCCAAGATTGAAAAGGCCCCTAACACCTTGTTTCGCACACGGTCGCCTGTTCGCGTTGCTCTTCACGTAGAGTTCGTCTGCAGAGCTCTCACTGAAACGCCGTTTCTTTGCGACTGCTGGAGATTAGCCAGTAATCCAGCAACGACGAGTCACATGCGGACCTTGTAATGTACTCTCCGGTGTGGCGGATCTACATCGCTCTAGGCCATGATCGTATACCATATCTTCGCAGCCTTGACAGAATAATGCGCGACTTCTGGACTCCATGTCTGAAGGACATTAGTTAGCGGCATCCCGCGCCAGCCCTGCTGCTCACTCACAGAACTGATGACCAGTCTTCTCTGTATGGACTTTACGATCGCCATTCATACATGGCTCAGAGCAAGTCAAGCAAGTGTATCTCGGTTTCAGGAGGCTAGACGGAGCCGTCTTGGATCCATCGCGACGTCCAAGCGCATTATGGGTCTTGATGAAGGAAGTCTTGAACTGGTTGCTGGCGGGACCATCGTGCATGAGCTGAGATGCTAGATGTTCTTTGATCTGTGTCAGCTCCTGAGAAACATGAGAAAATTGCCCATATAGTGTCCATACCGCAACCAAACTCGGCCTCCGAAAGGAGGGAAACCGACGCAACGGTCGCCATTATAGATGTGGAAGTCATGAGGCACCACCGATAGACTGCGCGTATCACGGCTCGAAATAGATATGTACAGTGCGCGGAGAGATCGGGAAAGGTATCAAATAGAATATCCTTCGCGACTGTAGGTCGTTGAATCGGTCGTTCGGTTCACAGGGCGGATGGACAAAGAAGCCATGGAGAAAGGTTGCAATTCAGTGCGTCGCGTGCATTAGAGCATCATCCCATCATATAGAGTCCAGCTCTTAGTCGTAATGCATTCAATGGAGCGGGTACGAAACAGTAGTGACTGAGCAAATCTGGGGCTGAATAAAGGTGTTGTCCGCGGTCTCGGGACTCCGCCGCTGCCGGATCGATGCCGAACACTGTGGGGAGCAGCGTTAGTTTTCAGCTTCTGTCAGATAAAGCACTTCAGGCTTACCAAGTACAAAGGATCACTATTCCCTCTGATCTACCAAGTCGGATAACTCGAGACCTGGTGTGAATGGTCCAAGAAGTTTTCGTAAACTCGAGTTTTGCGGCTCCGATAAGAGATCGGGCCTGCATTTGATCCGAGATGGCAAAGAACTATACGGTCCCATTCATGTTTCATCTATTGTTCTACTTTTAAGTTCATAGAAGTGTTGTTTTAATTGCCTTGATTGTTCTAGATTATTTGGCTTGCCCCTCAATTTACCAATTTCGCTTGTAGAACATTGTACGTCTGTGTTTGCATGCACTATGCAGCGCATGCGTTTTGGTGGAGATGCTCTATACTTAACCTGCAAACAGGTCACTATTGTGGCAACATAGCCTCGGAAGGCCCTTCGCATGATTCTAATCGTGTGGTATCATGGATAATCCGATTTTTGGATTTTCACGCCTCGCTAGAGGCCGGAGTAGAGCGTTCTGCTGTATCAGATCCGGGCCAAGTCGGTGCACCACCTGCGCATATGTATGATTGCAAAACATGCATTTCCTCATTATTGACCGGTCCGAGTCGCACGTTCATTGCCCAAGTTCACCGCATGCTCTTTCCTCGAGGCAAGGCACTAGGACGGCCTCGGCCCCTAGTCGCGTAACGACTAGTCGTCGACCCGCGAGTACTAGTACTAGTACTAGCTCCTCGCCCTCTTCCACGAGATGTACCAGACTTGGATGTAGGTTTCGAAGAGACCGTGCTCGGGGGGTGCTCGATGAAGGTGGTATCCGAAGTCCTACGCGAATTTTATGTTAGAAGCATGCGCAGAGCATGGAGAAAGGAAGGCATTGGATTCCTTAACTTACATAAACGTCATGTCGGCTTCGCTAGATTTTGCGATTTCTTCTTCTTCAGCCTCTGCAGCCTGTTAGATCAAGTGGATTTGCGACATGCGGGCAAACGATACCTTTTTGCGCCTCAGCTTGCTTCGCCCTGCGGAAGGACTCGGCGATTGGTGCCTATGATTGTTAGTCAGACCACGCAAGAGACGATAAACCAGAGTAAGCAGAAGCATACCTCTGGAAAGTCTACGCAAAACGCATTCATATTCAATCCGTAGAGAAAACTGGCAAAGCTCTCGCTGAAGCGCGTCAGGCTCTCATGCATTAACTGTAGCTTGTCGAAATTCGCTTCCAGTTCAGCCATACGGTCGGCAAGATCCGCAAACTGTGGCTCAAGGGCATTGATGGCGGGCTGCGTATACGGCACTCTGCTGATCTTCCTGTCATATCCATGCGCCTCGCGGACAGAAGACCTGGAGCCTGGCCGAAGAGGGGTCGTGGGCCTGGATATCCTGCGGGACCGCGACGACGACCGTGAAGGGGAATCCATTTATTCGTTAAGCTTTGTTGAGGAAAAGTAGATGGGCTCCGAGGTGGTTCTGAAAACAAGAGAAGAGGAGCGAGACAACGAGTTGAAGGCCGTTGCGGCGTTCGGGACGGATACGCAAATTGTAAGGTGGGGAACAACAAACAACTAGCAAAGGCCGCGGCGCGCAGCGCCGCGGTTGGAGCTAGTAAATTATTTTCCTTAGTAATTTAATATTAATAAATTATTAAATAGTAAGCAAGCTTAGTTCCCATTAATATTATAGCTAGCTTTTTATAATACTAAAAAGAATTATAAAATAATTTAGGGGCATAGCCATCTTTATAAAAAATATTAAATTTTAAGGGTTATTTATATAGTACTATACCGGGCATAATTTAAATATTTTAATATATTATAGCATGGGGGGATAACCATGGGATTTAATTAAGCTATAGTTACTAGGGGTTAAACCTGCTTAAATAAGCTAATTAAATATAAAATATAATATTAAAAAGGCTATTTATAACCCAGGGTGCCACGGGCAGTACCTATTTATACTTTATTTTTTAAATATACTATTAAGGGAGTAATAACTGCGTAAAGTTATAATTTACTTTAGTATATAAAAAAAGTAATAAGCCAGGTATATTTATAAAAAGTATTAATTTATTAAACTTTAGGGGGCCGGCCCCTAGCCTAAAAATATTTATTTAATAATAATATAAATCCAGGGGCCGGCTTTATTTTTTAATAATAATAATTAAGGTAATACTTATTATAAAAAAAAGCAAGGCCCCTAACCAAAGGTTATAAATAGCCACCTTTTAGTAAGTAAGTCCTTTATTATTAAACTTTATTATAAAATACTAATAGCCTATATTTAGTTGCCTGCTTAATTTACCTGCTTAATTTACCTACTTAATTTACCCGCTTATAGCCCTCTAGCCTTATTTTATAAGCTATATCCCTTTTTATTTTATGTGGCTTTATAGCTAATTTATTTTTAAGAAATTAAAAAGTTACCGGGGATTAAAGGTGTACTAGGAATTAAAGGTATACTAAAAATTAAAAAATTACCAGGAATTAAAGGTGTACTAGGAATTAAAGGTGTACTAGGGATTAAAGGGGTTTTAAGGGCTGTTTATAAATTAATAAAGCAAGAAATAAACACACCTATACTAGATAAAAAGTCCTACTAAGTCCTTGGTATACCCAGGGGCTTAAAAAGGTTTTTAATTACTTATAATATTAATAATATATTTATTAATATTAGGGGTGGTTCCTGGAGTCCTAACTTAGGGGTGGTTTTTAAAATCCTAACTTAAATATTTAGCCTTAAGTATTTTAGTAGCAAAGGTATTTAGGGGATAGTTATTTATAAATAGTGCTAATAAAGTAGGGCCCTTGCTAGATATAGTAATAAATAAATTTAATAACTAGCGGGAACTACCTTATAAACCCTAATTATAATACCTACTTTTAATACTTATTATTTACAGGCTAGTAGAATTTATACCCAAGATATTAAGTACTAGCATGTTTAAAAAAGTATTTTACCTTTTTTTATATTTAACTAGCTATTATGCAAGCTAATAGGCTTAAAATTAAGCTTTTAGTAAGGTAAATAGCTTATTATTATAGGGTAAACCTAAGATATAAAGTTTTTTTTAAAATAAGAAAATAATATAGTATTTTTAAAAGTAGCTATTTTTTAGGGCATGGCTCTTGCGTATACTATATTAATAAGTTTATTAAATTTATTATACTTTAGCACCGCACCTTTATACTAGTATTTTAAAATATAAAATACCTAGAATTTATAAGGTTATTTACCCTAAAAAATATACTAGCTAAAGTTTATAATATATTAATAATTAATAGTACTACTAAAATAGCTAGCTAACTTTAAAATTACTTGCATAATTTAGCTTTAGTACTTCTTGCGGTTAAATTTAGCTTTAATACTTTTAGCTATAATATTAAGGTAAGCTAGGTTATTAAAATTAAGTTAAAAAAGGCTTACTATCCTTATTTTATAATATATATAAAAACACTAAGGTACCAAGGTCTAAAAGCTATATTTATTAAAATAATAAATATATACTATTTTAGCGCGTTATAAAAAGGGATAATAAGTTAAATTTTCCTGGTTAGGGGCTTATTTTTAATAAACATGCTAACTTAGTAAATGCTAGTATTACACCTAACTAAAAATATACCTTTTATTTAATAGTTTTTAAGTTACTGGAATAGGGCTTTAAAGCCCTAAACCTTTTAAACTTATTATATTAAAGCTTTTTTTTAAGTATTACGCCTTTAGGCGTGCCTTTAGGTATTATACCTTTAGGTATTAGAAATTAGCTTAAGGCTAAGCTAGAAAAAGTTATTAAAATAATAGTACTTTATTATTAGCTATATATTAATTAATTAAAGTTATTATAATAAAGATTTCTAGCTCACGGGAGATATATATTATGCCTAAATACTTATTTTAGGTAGTTATAGGCTACAGGAATTTAACCTAAAAAATATTATAAGATTAAATAGGTAATTTTATTTTAACCTAAACTTTAGGAAATAATATATTATTTATTTTATATAAAAGTATAATAAATAATAAAGGGTCCCGTGAATACTTTAAGCTATGCCCTATATACTTTTTTTATATAATAATAAAGGTATAGGCAGTATATTATAATAATATAAAGTAATAATAAGTAATAATTTTTAGGTAGCTACTATACCCTGGATTAACTAAAAAAATAGTAATTAATAATATTTTATAGGCGCAAAGGTATATTATTAATATTAGCTAATAATGCTAATATACTAATACCTAGGGATAAGCTAATATACTAATATATAAAAATATTTTATTTTTTTAGTTAGTAAGGTTTAAGGTGGCCTTGCTGTACAGGGGATTAATTAGCTTTATTAAAATATATTATATTAGTTTAACTAGTTTAAACTGGTTGGTTTATTTAAGTATAATAAATAATTAATAAATTTAAATACCTATTATTTTTTTTTTTTAGCGCTGGACGTAAACTATAAACCTAAGGACTTTAATAAACCAAGGATTACTAATAAATTAAGAATAGTTAATAAACCTAGATTTAAATATTTAATTTTTTACTATACTTTGTATTGCTGCAAGTGTTTTTAATTTTTTTAATTAGCAGGCCCCTTATTAAGTTACTAATATACTTAAGGGCTTAAAGGGGGGCGGAGGGCCAAGGTTAGTATAACTAAGGGCTTAGGGCTTAGCGGGTAAACTTAGTGGGTAAACTTAGTGGGTAAACTAGAGGCAAACTAGAGGTAAAACAGGGGTAAACTTAATAAATAAACATGGCTTATTATAAAATATACTAAAAATATATTTAATTAAAAAAAAGGCAGGCACCTGGCATATATTAAGGCACTAGTTATTAAAATAACTAAATTTACTAGTTAAAAAAGGGCTTGATGTTAAACCAAGCATAAAAGTAGTAAGTAATTATTAATTTTAAACCCTAAAATAGTGCTTAATTACTAACCCTGTATTATAAAGGAACTATAAATATAATGCTAATAATAAAGTATAACTACCTAATTAAATATATAATTACTTTTTTTTAGCACCCCTTTTTATAGCCCTAGAAGTTTTTAAGGGGGTAACCTTTATAAAAAAGTTAGTAGTATTTAAAAAAAGTAACTATATATAAAGCAGGCGCCCTTAATATTAATTAATAAATATAAAGTTATTATTATTAGGACCAGGAAAAAATAAAAAAGTATAAAAACTAAATTACTTTTTATTTTTTTTATGTTTAAGCTTGCAAGCCCTTAAGTCCTTATGTTTTTACTTTTTTAACTTTTTATTCTTATTTTTTAGGGCTTTTTTATATTTTACTAAAAAGCGCGGTGGTGCTAGGAATTAAAAAGGCTTATAGTTACTTATTTTTTTTATCTTTATACTTTTATTAATAAAACTTTTAATCTCCTGCTTAACACGCGGGCTAAAATAAAAGTAATTAATATAAAATATAATATATAAAAAGGAACCGGCGTGCAAAAAGCTATTAAAATTTTAAAAAATAATAATATTAATATTAGTATTAATTTTAAAAAATTTATTAAGTAGCATGCCCAGCATAGTGCTCTTCTAGAATTATTTAGTACTAAAAATAAAAATATATTAATAAAGGTAAAAATAAAGTATAATATATATACTAAAAAATGGTAGTAAGTAAAAAGGTTTTTATATTAATAGTAGTAGGCATAACCTAGGACCTAGCCTGTAAATTACTAAAAAAATAATTAATAATAATTATTAAAATATAAATAAACCTTTTACTAATAAGTGTTATTTATTTAATAATAGTACTAGTTACCATGCACTAATAGCCTATAATAAAAATAATAATATATTATTAACGCGGACTTAGGCGTAGGATATAGTAAATATTAAACTTTATAAACTAGGGTTTCTCCCTCCCATAATAACTTTAGATATAAATACTAAAAACCTGGTAAATATTAATATTAGCCTGGTAAATTGCACTAACTATACCTGCAAGAGTTATAATAAGGTTAGTAATATTAATTAAAAAGTTAGGATAGATTTTTAAAAAAAAATTATTATTTTATATATAAAAATTATTTATATTTATAGCAAGGGTTGGACTATTAGGGCCTAAAATAACTAAAAAAGTACTATTAAACTAGGTAAACTAGCTATTAATATATATAAGATTAAGCTTATTAAATTACTTAATAACCATGCGTATTTTTTTATCACGCTTAAAACTAAAAATATTATTTTTGCAAATAATATTATTAATAATATAAATTAAAAGGCCACGTTTAGTTACGCTAGAAGAAGAGTGGGAAATAATACTAGGGGTAAAAATAATAATATAAAATTAGGATTAAAATATAATAAAAAAAGTTAGTATAAGCATAGCAAGATAAAATAAAAATAAAAAGTAAATATAAAAAAGCAGGAGCTAAAACTACTTAGGGTTCCTAGCTAAATTTAT